TATGTGAGGATTGCATCTTTGGAAAACAAAAGAAAGTCAATTTTCCAAAGATTGGCAAGACACTCAAGGCAGAAAAGTTAGAGTTGGTTTATACTGATATATGGGGACCATCTCTAGTTCCATCTCTTTCAGGCTCAATGTATTATGTCACCTTCATCGATGATTCTACAAGGAATATGTGGGTTTATTTTCTGAAGAAGAAATCATAAGTCTTTGATACCTTCAGAAAATGGAAGGTCATGGTGAAAAATGAGACTGGTTTGAAAGTTAAGCGGTTGAGGTCTGACAATGGATGAGAGTACAGAAATAGTAGATTCAGAGATTTCTACGCAAACAATGAGATCAAGATGGAGACAATAGTTCCCATGACACCTCAGCAGAATGGTGTAACAGAGCGCATGAACAGAACTCTGAATGAACGTGCCAGAAGCATGAGGATACATGCCAGATTGCCCAAATTGCTATGGGCTGAAGCTATCAACACTACAGCTTACGTGATCAACCGTGGGCCCTCAGTTCCCTTAGATAGAAGAATACCAGAAGAAGTTTGGAGTAGAAAAGAAATAAACCTTTCACACTTAAGAGTGTTTGGTTGTATTTCTTATGTACACATAAATTCTGTTGAAAGAAGTAAACTTGATGCTAAGTCCAACAAATGCATTTTTGTTGGTTATGGTGGTGATGAGTTCGGTTACCGGTTTTGGGACTACGAAAATTGAAAGATCATCAGAAGCAGAGATATCATTTTCAATGAGAATGTGATGTACAAAGACAGGTCAACCATAGAATCAAGTAGCTCCAATATCGAAGCTGAAACAAAAGAATTTGTTAAGTTTGAGGAGATTTCTGGAAATGATGTTCAGACCAGTCCTGAAACAGTTCAAGAAGAACCAGGCACACCAGAACTGAGACGCTCCTCCAGAATTCCTAAACCAACCCAACGTTATTCGCCTTCTTTGCACTACTTGTTGCTGACTGACAATGGTGAACCAGAGTGCTATGATGAAGCAATACAAGTTGAGGATTCAGTCAAGTGGGAGTCTTCCATGAAAGATGAGATGGATTCTCTTATGTCAAATCAGACATGTCAATTAGCTGAATTACCACCAGGCAAAAAAGCGCTCCATAACAAGTGGATTTACATGATCAAAGAAGAGCACGATGGAAGCAAACGCTACAAAGCAAGATTGGTTGTCAAAAGTTTTTAACAAAAAGAAGGTATTGACTACAATGAAATTTTCTCTTCAGTCGTGACACTGTCTACAATCAGACTGGTGTTGAAAATTCTAGGTGCAAAGAATCTACATCTTGAGCAGTTAGATATGAAGACAGCTTTCCTTCATGGTGATTTGGAGGAAGAAATCTATATGAGGCAGCCAGAAGGCTTCATAGAGGCAGACAAGAAAAATCTGGTATGCAAGTTGAAGAAGAGCTTGTATGGTTTAAAACAAGCTCCTAGACACTGGTACAAGAAGTTCGATAGCTTCATGAGTAGCAGTGGTTTTACCAGATGTCAAGCAGATCATTGTTGCTACATCAAGAAGTTCGACAACAGCTTAATTATTTTATTGTTGTGCGTTGATGACATGCTCGTTGCAGGCTCAGACATGCAAGATATTATAAACTTGAAGCAAAAATTGTCGAAGCAGTTTGCAATGAAATATCTGGGTGCTGCAAAGCAGATTCTTGGGATGAGGATTAAGAGAGACACAAAGTCGAGGACTTTGATGTTATCATAGGCTGAGTAAATCAACAAAGTACTATTTAGGTTCAACATGCAATATGCTAAACCAGTAAGTACATCTTTAGGTGTTCATTTTAGACTCTCCAAAGAATAGTCACCAAAGACGGAGGAAGAACATGCACACATGGTGAAGGTACCGTATGCCTCAACAATTGGAAGTCTGATGTATGTCATAGTTTGTACCAGACCAGATATTGCTAAGCAATGGGAGCTGTTAGCAGGTACATGAATAATCCGGGCAATGTACACTGTGAAGCAGTCAAATGGATCCTCATATATCTGCGGGGTACCACAAACAAAGAACTTTGTTTCAAAGGTGGAGATATGATACTGACAGACTATGTAGATGTTGGCTTAGCCGAAAATGCCAACATCAGAAGAAGCACTACAGGGTATGTCTATACTCTAGGAAGAACTGCAGTGAGTTGGGTTTCTCAACTACAGAAGATAGTTGCTCTCTCCATAACTGAAGCATAATATATCGATGTTACGAAAGACAACAAGGAGATGGTTTGGCTCTAAAGTTTCTTGGAAGAGTTAGACAATAAACAAGAAAACAATGTCTTGTATTATGATAGTCAAAGTGCTATCAATCTAGCGAATAATCTGTCTTTTCATTCCATAACGAAGCACATACAATTGAGATATCATTTTATTCGGTCTCTTCTGGAAGATGGGATTTTGAAACTTGAAAATATTAGTGAAGCTCAAAATTCGGTAGACATGTTAACAAAGACGGTGAATACGGACAAACTGAAGTTGTGTTCAGCTTCAGTTGGTATGCTAGAGTAACAAGACCAGAAATACTGCTATATTGATCGAGGTGTGAAGACATATTAAAATCAGTCTTCAAGTGAGAGATTGTTGAAATTCAAAGCAAGCAGCCACCAAGTCAAAAAGAAGCCGACTAAATTGATTTCAACAGGGGGCGGCAATGGTTTTCAAAAAGGGGGCACCGAATTCAGTGCCCTAATTTTTTATTAAAAATGTAATAGGGTTAATTACATTTTAGTCTATGCACACTTTAGGGTATTTACAAGATTAGTCCTTAAGCTTCAACTATAAATATCTTAACCCATTTACATTCAATATGATCCAAAATCATTTCTTTCTTCCATTACTAAAGAGTTTAGAGAGCTTTCTTGTGAGTTATGAGTGTTTTGTAAACACCTGTAAATTTTCTCTTTTTCGTAAAAGATCTGCAGCAGTCCGGAGACGTAGGCAAAATTAACTGAACTCCGTTATCAATTTCGGGTATTATTTTTCCGCTTTTATTTCGCATTCTCACTAATTTGGTTATAGGGAAATTACTCGTTTATTTCCCAACATTAGAGTGAGATTTCATTGATGATACTTTGACATTGGCATTCCCGACTCTTTGTGACTCTTAATCATGCAATGTATCTCCACTGTTTCTTCTCAGGTTCTTTGGAATGGTTTCATGATGGACTCTTTTAGCCCATCTTGGGGTATTCATCAAGCGGATCCTTTATCGCCTTATATTTTTGTTTTGTGCATAGAGCGCTTTGCTCAATCTATTCAGTCTAAAATATGCAGTGAGAGGTGGCGTGATTTCAAAACCTCTTTAAGAAGTCCGTAAATTTCTCATTTGTTCTTTGCAGATGATATGATTCTGTTTGCAGAAGCTTCCCTCGACAGTTGATTGTCATTCAGTCAGTTTTGGATGAATTTTACACTATTCTCGGCTCAGAGTAAGTATTGCCAAGACTACGACTTTCTTTTCTAAGAACATTTCTCCCATCTTGCTCCACACTATTAGCGTTGGTTTTGAGTTTACTGAAGTAGATGATCTTGGTAAGTAATTGAGAGTTCCTCTTTTATATAATCGGGTTACTTCTGCTTCTTATAGTTATTTGGTTCAGATGGTTCAACGTAAACTCAATGGTTTGAAAGCACGTTGTCTTTCCCTTGCCAGGCGTTGGCTAAAGTTATGCTTTTTGCGATTTCCTTATACACTATGCAGTTTGCAGTTATCCCAAAGCATATATGTATGGAGTTGGAACGACTTATTCGTCATTTTGTTTGAGGTGGTACTTTTATGAAATGCGGAATCCATTTAATTAGGTGGAATGATCTTTGTCGCCTTGTATCGGAAAGGGGCTTGGGTTTTCGTAATATTGCCACGCGAAATGAAGCCTTCCCTATGAAAATTATGTTTAATCTTTTAACCCGTAAAAATGATCTTTGGGTCAGATACATTCGGGCAAAATATAAATGTACTGAGGGTGTTACTATATGCCTAAGAAGCTCTAATTGCTCTCGTCTTTGGAAAGGCCTAAGCTTTGTGTGGGATGATGTTCGCAATAATATTGTTTAGTCGATTGGCTCAGGGAAAGATGTGGATTTTTGGCATGATCCATGGATTGCTGATATTGGTCCTTTAGTCAACTATGTTAACCCATCTCTTGTTTCTCATATCGTAAAAATTCATATAACTGATATGGCAAATTTTGCTGGGAACTATTATTAGAGTTCTTTCGAACACCTCTTGCCGCAGAAAATATTGCTTTGGATTGCTACTACGAAAGGCCCGTCTCGCTCGCCTAGTCCTGATACTATTGGATAGTGGGGTAATTGTAATTTGGAGTTCATCGTCAAGTCTGGGTTTTTAAGCGCTGCTAAAAGCACTTGCATCGCTAGGAAAAACACCGCAAGAAGCGCCGACCAAACCAGCGCCGCTAAAGTTAACGACATTTTTGGAACAAACGCCACAAAAGGTTATATTTATAGCGGCGTTTTTAGGGGAAACGCCGCAAAAAGTTGATATCTATAGCGGCATTTTTGGAACAAATGCCGCAAAAGGTTGATATCTATAGCGACATTTTTTTGGAACAAACGCCTTAAAAGTTCAGATCTATAGCTACGTTTTTTGAACAAACGCCACAAAAGGTCATATCTATAGCGGCGTTTTTTGATACAAACGCCGCTAATTGCCTTTCAGCTAAGATGATTTTGCATATTTCATTTCTGCTCTACATCACCTAAATTTAATATCATCTAGCTTTATCTAATTAACAACCATACATTTTAATAAAGAAACAAGTTATGCAGAAAAATACTTAACAACAAAATAAATTAAAATTTATAAACATTAAAAATGAATGTATTGTATCCACTTATGAAGTTGTTGTCCTATGATTATATTTGGACACATTAAATCTACTACAAAAACCATGTTCATAGTAGCTCACAGTGTTGACCACTTATGAAGTTCAGAAAACAACTTTCAACTCTACTAGCTTACTTTTGAACAATTATGACTAAAGGAAGATTGCTCAACTCCAGTTATTTCACCACCTTCATTCAATGTTCGAGCCCCATACTGAATCACAGTCCCACCTTCTAGTAGCGGTTTTATGGAGGGATGATGCTTGAGTTTCTACAAGAAGAAACAACCAAAGAGTGAATGGGATTCCAAATTCTTTTAGTTCGTGTTTGAGAGAGTTAAAACTTAAAACTGAAAAGTCAAAACATCAATTTTCCAGAATATCTAAAGCAACCAACAAATTAGAATACCAACTAAACTATAATAGGAAAGTGAGCTAATGGTCTGGGACGACGAAACACCAGATAGATGAAGACTAGAAATTGCTGAATCAACTGCTCCTCCAGAATGGCTGGTAATACCGCTTAAGGGCGGATAGACCGTCCACCCAGTGCCGCTACCCACTTCTACTAAGGCTGAGCTTAATAGGAGCAAGAGACTTGGTGGCAACAACCAGAATGAAATATTATTTAATCGCGGAAATGCCATGTCAGGTGCACCTATCAGAATCGGAACAAACCAATTACCAGATCCACCTATCATCGCCGGCATAACCATAAAAAAGATCATTAAAAAAGCGTGAGGGAAATCATGTCAATGTTCTATTCTCTCCCTAAAATGGTTCTCTCTGTTACCACTGAGTCCTTAAGTTGGTTCCTATTATGATACCAAACAACAGCATGTGATCAATTTCTCTGATGCTTGAAATGTCTTCCATTTCAACATTGATAAGATGAAAGAAAAGAAAGAAAAAGAACTGAAATGAAACGAAACAAAATGAGGTGCTCAAATGGGCTCAGCAAGCCATAACAACATGAAGATGTTATACATTACTGTAGATAGTAAAAAATGTATATGCACATGCAGAATCATGTTAAAATTAGAATAGAAAATGTAGGAAATAACTAACAAACTTAAACATGCATTAAATACTTTTTTCTTAATTATTATTCAAGAAAATGGCAAAATATATCCATGTTCCAAGCGCACACTAACAAAAAGACCAAAACTGGAAAGAAATTGATAGAACATTGTAAAAAACTTAAAATTCAGCTTATCTGGAATTCCTCATAAGGATTCAAGAAAGGGTTATGATAATTCAAGGCAAGCACAAGACCAATTGAAATTTGTATACTCAACAGGAAAAAAAAACAAGAATAAATAAGATGGACAGTATCATTATGATGAACAATTCAATGATAATGCTTTAAGACATGAATAACAGCTATAGTGACAGAAATGTATAAACCAAAAATAAATGAAGATAAACAAAATGATACTGGTGTTGAAAATAATGAAAGAGTAAAAGGAAATGTTTTTTCAGGTCACATCAAATCAGGCAAGGAATATGGAACAAAATCTGCCAACATAAAATAGAACTTAGAAAAAAAATTCATACCAGTTTTTGTCCAAATTTCAGGGGAAGTCTATACCTAATACTAAGCTTTCAATAAGATCGCAAAGGACTAAAGACTGATGCCTTAATTAGTGACTGAGTCTGAGACTGCTATGAAGTTGGACGGGGATTATGGTCCCCATTTTGTCAAACATATTTAATTTCCAGTTGACAGCAGCACTAAAAACTAGTGACATTGTTAAAAGCATTCATTTCAGAGTGCGACTAACACATCCAATACTGGGATAATAAAATGACACCAACATTTACATCTTCCAGAATAAAAGCTTGAATCTCCATGCAATAACAGTCCAGTTTTAGCAAGCTGTTTATATACAAACATACATCCTATTTTGGCAATCTTAAGGTGGCAGATGGAAATCTCCATGGACAAAGAAGCACAAATATTCTATTTTAAAATCAGCCTAAAATAGAGAGCATCTACACAAACTTTATTACCTGTCGATCCTTCATGTGGTACAGAAATGAACCTCCATAAGTCTTGGAATCCAAAGGCCAGCGTAATGTGTGGAGAATTGTACCAGGCTTATGCTTGTTCTCATCGATTTCCCAAACCTGATTGAATAACAATATCAACAAACATTATCTCCACTATGCAGCATATATTAACACTGGATTATATCTCAAAAGGGAAAAAGTATAAAAACCAAACATCAACCCAGCAAAATATATTCTTCAGATGTAAAAAATTTACCTCTTTAATTCCCAGAGCATAAGTTTGCTGTTGAGCTTGTACCTTCTCTCTTGTACTCTTTCATTATTTTCTGTTCAAGAAAATTAAGACAATGACCATCACTGGCATTCTTTACTAGTAAAACTAACTAAATTGAACCCCTAGAACAGCAACTTTAGCAGAAATATTTTCTCTGAAAACCTGTGATAATGATCCCCGACATCCTTCAGCTAAAGTGTAATCCGACCTGCATGTTAACATCACAGCTTAGTGCACTATAGACAACTTAAATTCACAGAGCACAGAGAGGGGGGGGGGGAGAGAGAGATGCCTTTCAATGCCACACCACGCTGGAAATTCTCTTTTTTGGAACCATCTTTGGCAACTCCCATATCATTAGTTCCAATCCCAACAACTTTATTGTCTTCATCGTACAATATCTAAAGAATGGAACACCTAGTCGTTTAAACATCCATCAAAACATCAAACAGCAACAAGACATAAATTATAAGTACCTCACTGGCAGCAAAACCTGGATAAATTTCCACTCCCAATTCCTCAGCTTTTACCCCCATCCAACGCACCAATTGACTTAAGCTACATCAGAACATACAAGACATTAAGCTTTAAGGTAAAGTTGAGGCCATTAAATGGGAAGAAGTATAGAAAAAGAAAGTGTCACGTTATTATATTTTAAAATAATAAAATTTCAATGAAGGAATTGCAGGTTCTCATAAGATAAGATGAGCGTCAAAGCTTAATTTGATCAGCAACCTAACATTTTTTCAGCAAACGGTTTTCAAAGTTGCATTCTGCTTACTTTGCTTATTAAAAGGAAAAGAAAATATCCAAACCCAGTTGATTAATTTTCACAAAATAACTACATTTGACATACATTTCGCTCAATTTGACGAGAAACTGTTGAATCAAAACAATCAAAGAACTAATAGCAGAGAAAACGAACCAGAACAAAGATTATGATAGGCTTGACACACATTACGTTTGGAGCAAAGCTGACTGCCAAAATAAAAAAATAATATAAATAAATCCACATAAACCATTATTTTTTCTTTAAAAAAAACTTACCATTTTGCAGGCTCCTTTAAGGGTTTATATTTGCCATAACGACGCTTCCAATCGATTTGTTCTTTGCATCGAGGGCAAACTCCAGTTATTTCAGAGAACGGCCTTAGCTTCCCTCCAACTTCCTATTGAAAATAAAATTTTAAATTTAAATAAAAATATATATGAATAAAATGAAAAAGAAAAATATCAGTAATTGATTACCTTCTCGTTGATTTTAACACCGGCGTTTTGTTTCCAGGCGTAGCGATTTTGGTGCTTCGGTGGCCCTCGATGACTGCTCATCTTTTGCTTACAGGCTGCATACTCAATCACTCTTCTCTGACTAACGTTTGGAATTTGTTAATTAAACCTAGACCATTTTTGCTAATTAACGTTTGGGGTTTGGTAGTGAAGCAGATGGGTTTGCGTAAACGGCGGGGTTGAAAAATGGGTGAAGGGGAAAAATGAAAAAGGGTTGATGGGCGCGGGATTAAAAATTGTAAATTTGCTGTGTTTGTAAACACAAACGCCATTGAGTCCATAGTGGCGTTTGTATATAAACGTCACTAAAGTACGAGTTTTTACGATTTTTTTATAAAAACGTCACTAAAGTATAAATTTATAGCGGCGTTTATATATTAAACGATACTAAAGTAAGAGTCTTTTAGCGGCATTTGGAAACACAAATGCCACTAAAGAACTAGTCTATAGCGGCGTTTGTATCCACTAGAGTACTACTCTGTTGCGGCATTTGGTATGTAAACGCCGCTATATGTTTAAAATTAGTGGCTTACTCCCAAAAAACCGCTAAAACGCCGTTGTAGAACAATTTTGCTGAAGTGGTGTGCTGTAGTGGATGATTTTAACCATGTCCTTCACTTTTGTCCTCTTGTTTTTCTTATATGGAATGATTTAATCAAGCCGGATAAACTGATGGAATTCATGTCTCTTAACTTGAATGAAGGGGTAGTCGTCAATCTTATTGACCCAAGCCAATTTATTATTGATGGTGAGAATTGGGAGCTTATGTTTGGTGCGATTATTTGAAACTTATGGTTATCCAGTAACTCCAAGGTATTTAATTCACCAATGGACAATGGTATAAGTATTATAAATCGTAGTCGACAACTTATGACTATCCGGACAATGGAAGAGAATCGTATGTGTCGGGTGGTCTCGCCTAGTATTAACCGTGGTCACTCGCATTAGTCTCCTCAGTCGGCTCCTTGGATTAAAGTCAATACGGATGGAGCTCGTCGTAGTTTTGATGGTTACTCTTCTTGTGGCGGTGTCGCTCGAGATAGTACTGGGTATTGGAAATTTGGTTTCTACAAGTTTATTGGTGTTTGTTCGGTGGTTGATGCAAATCTTTGAGGTGCTTATATTGGTCTCTTATTGGCGTGGACTATGGGATATAGAAACATTGTTCTTGAACTTGATTGTTTGGAAGCTCTTCGATTTCTTCGAAATGACTACAATGGACCTCATCCCTTGAGTAACCACTTGTCCAATCTACGACATCATAGTTGGATTGTCAAGATTCAGCATGTTCGTCGTGCAGGTAATAAAGTAGTTTATGTTTAATTCAAGAGTGCTAGATTCAATTCGATTGACACGATATTTCTTGCTTCAACTCCTGCCTGGGTGGAGCCGATTCTGCTTGCTGACAACATTAGTTCTTAATGTTGGTTTTACTGTTTTGTTTTATTTACGGTTTGCACTATGTTTTCTAGTTGATCAATTAATTGATACTCTTTGTTCCCCTTCCGACTAGGTTTAGAGGGATTTTAATGAGGCATGTGATAATACTTTCCTAGTGCATGTGTTCGTATATGAATCAATACCTTCAGGGTCGGTCCAATGAGTTTTAATGCTCTAGGTAAGATAATAATTTTATGGAGAAAATAACCTCAGTGACCAAAAATGCCTTATAATATACGATTTTAACCAACTTTTTTTGGATTTGCCAAAATGACCAACTAAATCGCAATGCGATCGATAATTCACAACGCGATCTCCGGTATCGCAAATCAGTTTCCAGATTCGCAACGCGATTCTGACTATCGCATTGCGATTTTCCAAATTCTCGTTGCGATTTTCTTAATTCGCAATGCGAATACGTAAATCGCAATGCGAATACGTAAATCGCAATACGAATACGTAAATCACAATGCGAATACGTAAATCGCAATACGAATACGTAAATCGCAATGCGAATACGTAAATCACAACGCGAATCTGACTATCGCAACGAGATTCTGACTATCGCAACGAGATTCTGACTATCGCAACGCGATTCTGACTATCACAATACTGAATCACAACCATCACAATCATCTTTTCCTCTACCAAAATATGGATCCTCATCAAAATCCCAATCACAACCGGCTTCACCTTTTGGGACTGTTAACTTAGGTGATTTTTAAATGCAAACGTTGTATTATGTGTATATTATGTGTGAACTTTTAACATTTTCAGTTAGGCATGTATTAGTAACTTGAGTTTGAACATTGCTATGATATGTTCAGTTGTTATCACTTATTAGACATTCATTTGACTATCGTAACGCGGAAATCGCAACGCGAATATGACTATCGCAACAATGAAATCACTATCGCAACGAGAGAATCGCAATGCGAAAATGAAAATCGCAACGCGAATTTAGTTTCGCGTTGCGATTTTCATTTTCGCATTGCGATTCTCTCGTTGCGATTTTCATTTCGCATTGCGATTCTCTCGTTGCGATAGTCATTTTTGCGTTGCGATAGTCTGTTTTTCATTCAACATAATGCATATTGAAATCAACAAATCAATTATTACATTTCAATCAATTAAACAAGCATAAATAATAATTATGTACACATCAATTAAACAAATCAACATTTACAAATCATCTTTTACAAATCAATTAAACAATCAAAAAATAATAATAAGAATTATTTCCTCATCAATTATTGAATTAACTTTTGCACCCATACATCCATTTCACGCAGCTCACTTCAGGATTAACCTACAAAAACCAAACATTGAATCAACAACACTTTCTACACATCTAAAACCTACAAACAGCAAATTATTTGAATTCTAGCTACTTAACCAAACATTTTCAAACCAAAAAGAGTATATATGTTTAACAACACTTGCATTTGACTTACAAATTGTTTATGGACACTTTCATAACGCGGATGTAGGTAGGCAGCGTCTCGAATATATCGTTCTAGCCATAAAATGCCAAAACCACAAGCCTACTGCACCTCTATCTCTATCGGTGGGAGGTAGAAACTGTGTACTTCCTGTCGTCAAACGCTCCAAGCACATGCATACGAGAGGACCACAATCCCCTCTGGATTCCTTCATTTGTTGTGGCGCGGTCTCATCTCTGATAACTGTAACATTGAACTTCTTTGGCTTCCTGTTTCCAGAATTAGTCCAAGAATTTAGCCAAATGAGAGCTCCATCCCTTAATAATATCTCTCAAATCAGACAATGATATGTAATTTATCATGATGTCATATACTATTGTCTTTAGGGATGGGAGCTGAAGCTCGACGAGAAGCCAATGAGTACGTTCTAAAACAGGGATAAACACATGCATCGAAATGTAATAATTCAAATTGAGCACTTATTTATGAACACCTTTAAAATATTTAAACAAATAAATACTAACCTTATCGACCTCCCACCATGCAGGATAAAGTTTAGCTTGTCCATTAGCCAACACATATGATTCCTGTCGTTGATTCTTCAAGTGAACTACGTGAAAAGACGTCGGCATAATTGTATATCGCGTTTTTTTATATTCTTCTTCAATTTCCTTACAATTAGAAGACGTGTCACCCATGCATCAATATGCTATTTTACAAAAAAGACATATATTAGTGAATTACATAAATTTTAAAAAAAATTAATCAAACTGAAATATAAGAAGAAATATAAGACTTACCCCCCATCGAAATAGCCGTTGTCTTCAACCCCTAATAATACACCCCACCAAGACCGTTCAATCAACAAATGCATATCATCGTTGAGTTTGTATATGTCAGCGTAACACCCTTGGCTCCGCTCATGTAGATAAAAATCAACTGCGGTCTTAGCCCAAAGGGTATTATCCAGAATTATTTCCGGTAGTTGTTTCCTCTCCACTTCATCTGCCGGAATGGTACTGGCCGGTAACTTATACGAAAGCCAACCGTCATCCATCATGTCCGGCACGTGAGGGGGCTTCTCAATAATTCGATATATTACGCCGTGTGAATCGGGCTCTAGAATGTTGGGAGGGACCTCTTCAACGATGACAGTGGCCTCTTGAATGGTGGGAGGGGACTCTTGAGGGATGATAGAGGCCTCTTGAACGATAGGGGAGGCCTTTTGAACGATGACAGGTGAGTCGGGCTTTTTCTTACGGATTCTTCGCACTATTGGAGTGAATGGAGATGTAACGGCACGTGCACGCCGTCTGATACGTGAACTCCATCTTGCAAGAAAAACCCGACGTAGAGCATCCACCTTAGCGGGCCGTTAAAAATAAATTAATACATAAATCAGTAAATAAACAGACATGATATTAAACAGTGAAAACAAAGACAAATATATTTCAAACTTGCACGGTATTCACCCAAGTCATTATTATATCATTGTTCACAAAATGCATCAGATAACATTCCAGAAGTAAGCATTTATATAAACATTTAAAAGGACAACATATAGGTTTAGTGCAGGTTCAATGACAACATAAAGAGTAGTAGTTTATTCTTGAAACTTAAATTTTCAACACTGTGAAGTTAGAATTTGTTTTTTGGTTGAAGTAATGCAATTCATTCAAGTTTCAATTTGCATAAGAAGAATAGAATCTGAAACTTAAAATCGCAACGCAAAAATGACTATCGCAACGCGAAAATGACTATCGCAATGCGAATTTGACTATCGCAACGAGAGAATCGCAATGCGATTTTCATTTCGCATTGCGATTCTCTCGTTGAGATAGTCAAATTCGCATTGCGATAGTCATTTTCGCATTGCGATAGTCATTTTCGCATTGCGATAGTCATTTTCGCATTGCGATTTTTTTGTTGCGATTTTCATTTCGCATTGCGATTCTCTCGTTGCGATAGTCATTTTCGAGTTGCGATAGTCATTTTCGCATTGCGATAGTAAACTATTCTTCTTCTGCAAATTGAAACTTGAATGGATTGCATTACTTCAACCAAAAGACAACCAAAAACAAATATTAACTTCACAGGGTTAAAGAATAAACAGCATTGGCAGCAACCGAATGAATTTACTAAGCAATCTAAGTGAAATTACGAGTAAATTTATCATCAAGTTAAATATGAAAAATATTAAACTTACCTCGTTGCGTAGAGTATGAA